CTATCCCACACTATCTATAATCCCTATCCCACACTATCTATAATCCCTATCCCACACTATCTATAATCCCTATCCCACACTATCTATAATCCCTATCCTAAACTATCGATAATCCCTATCCCACACTATCGATAATCCCTATCCCACACTTATCTATAATCCCTATCCCACACTTATCTATAATCCCTATCCCACACTATCTATAATCCCTATCCCACACTTATCTATAATCCCTATCCCACACTTATCTATAATCCCTATCCCACACTATCTATAATCTCTTTTCCACACTATATATAATCCATATCCCACACTATCTATAATCCCTATCCAACACTTATCTATAATCTGTATCCCACACTATCTATAATCCCTATCCCACACTATCTATAATCCCTATCCCACACTATCTATAATCCCTATCCCACACTTATCTATAATCCCTATCCTAAACTATCTATAATCCCTATCCCACACTATCTATAATCCCTATCCCACACTATCTATAATCCCTATCTATCTATAATCCCTATCCCACACTATCTATAATCCGTATCCCACACTTATCTATAATCTCTATTCCACACTATCTATAATCCCTATCCCACACTATCTATAATCCCTATCCCACACTATCTATAATCCCTATCCCACACTATCTATAATCCCTATCCCAAACTATCTATAATCCCTATCCCACACTATCTATAATCCCTATCCCAAACTATCTATAATCCATATCCCACACTATCTATAATCCCTATCCTAAACTATCGATAATCCCTATCCCACACTATCTATAATCCCTATCCCACACTATCTATAATCCCTATCCCACACTATCTATAATCCCTATCCTACACTATCTATTATCCCTATCCCACACTATCTATAATCCCTATCCCACACTATCTATAATCCCTATCCCACACTATCTATAATCCCTATCCCACATTATCTATAATCCCTATCCTAAACTATCTATAATCCCTATCCCACACTATCTATAATCCCTATCCCACACTATCTATAATCCCTATCCCACACTATCTATAATCCCTATCCTAAACTATCGATAATCCCTATCCTACACTATCTATAATCCCTATCCAACACTCTCTATAATCCCTATCCCACACTATCTATAATCCCTATCCTAAACTATCGATAATCCCTATCCTAAACTATCTATAATCCATATCCTACACTATCTATAATCCCTATCCTACACTATCTATAATCCCTATCCCACACTATCTATAATCCCTATCCCACACTTATCTATAATCCCTATCCTACACTATCTATAATCCCTATCCCACACTATCTATAATCCCTATCCCACACTATCTATAATCCCTATCCCACACTATCTATAATCCCTATCCCACACTATCTATAATCCCTATCCTAAACTATCTATAATCCCTATCCCACACTATCTATAATCCCTATCCCACACTATCTATAATCCTATCCCACACTATCTATAATCCTATCCCACACTATCTATAATCCCTATCCCACACTATCTATAATCCCTATCCCACACTATCTATAATCCCTATCCCACACTATCTATAATCCCTATCCCACACTATCTATAATCCCTATCCCACACTATCTATAATCCCTATCCCACACTATCTATAATCACTATCCGACACTAACTATAATCCCTATCCCACACTATCTATAATCCTATCCCAAAATATCTATAATCCCTATCCCACACTTATCTATAATCCTTACCCACACTTATCTATAATCCCTATCCCACACTATCTATAATCTCTATCCCACAATATCTATAATCCCTATCCCACACTTATCTATAATCCTTACCCACACTTATCTATAATCCCTATCCCACACTATCTATAATCCCTATCCCACACTATCTATAATCCCTATCCTAAACTATCGATAATCCCTATCCCACACTATCTATAATCCCTATCCCACATTATCGATAATCCCTATCCCACACTTATCTATAATCCCTATCCCACACTTATCTATAATCCCTATCCCACATTATCGATAATCCCTATCCCACACTATCTATAATCCATATCCTACACTATCTATAATCCCTATCCAACACTCTCTATAATCCCTATCCCACACTATCTATAATCCCTATCCCACACTATCTATAATCCCTATCCCACACTATCTATAATCCCTATCCCACACTATCTATAATCCCTATCCCACACTACCTATAATCTGTATCACACACTATCTATAATCCCTATCCCACACTATCTATAATCCATATCCTACACTATCTATAATCCATATCCCACACTATCTATAATCCCTATCCCACACTATCTATAATCCCTATCCCACACAATCTATAATCCCTATCCCACACTATCTATAATCTCTATCCCACAATATCTATAATCCCTATCCCACACTTATCTATAATCCTTACCCACACTTATCTATAATCCCTATCCCACACTATCTATAATCCCTATCCCACACTATCTATAATCTCTATTCCACACTATCTATAATCCATATCCCACACTATCTATAATCCCTATCCCACACTATCTATAATCCCTATCCACACTATCTATAATCCCTATCCCACACTATCTATAATCCCTATCCCACACTATCTATAATCCCTATCCCACACTATCTATAATCCCTATCCCACACTATCTATAATCCCTATCCCACACTATCTATAATCCCTATCCCACACTATAATCCCTATAATCCCTATCCCACACTATCTATAATCCCTATCCCACACTACCTATAATCCCTATCCCACACTATCTATAATCCCTATCCCACACTATCTATAATCCCTATCCCACACTATCTATAATCCCTATCCCACACTATCTATAATCCCTATCCCACACTATCTATAATCCCTATCCCACACTATCTATAATCCCTATCCCACACTTATCTATAATCCCTATCCCACACTATCTATAATCCCTATCCCACACTATCTATAATCTGTATCACACACTATCTATAATCCCTATCCCACACTATCTATAATCCCTATCCCACACTATCTATAATCTGTATCACACACTATCTATAATCCCTATCCCACACTATCTATAATCTATAATCCCTATTCCACACTATCTATAATCCATATCCCACACTATCTATAATCCCTATCCAAAACTTATCTATAATCTGTATCCCACACTATCTATAATCCCTATCCCACACTATCTATAATCCGTATCCCACACTTATCTATAATCTCTATTCCACACTATCTATAATCCCTATCCCACACTATCTATAATCCCTATCCCACACTTATCTATAATCCCTATCCCACACAATCGATAATCCCTATCCCACACTATCTATAATCCCTATCCCACACTATCTATAATCCCTATCCCACACTATCTATAATCCCTATCCCACACTATCTATAATCCCTATCCCACACTATCTATAATCCCTATCCCACACTATCTATAATCCCTATCCCACACTATCTATAATCCCTATCCCACACTATCTATAATCCCTATCCCACACTATCTATAACTATCCCACACTATCTATAATCTGTATCCCACACTATCTATAATCCCTATCCCACACTATCTATAATCCCTATCCCACACTATCTATAATCCCTATCCCACACTATCTATAATCTGTATCACACACTATCTATAATCCCTATCCCACACTATCTATAATCCCTATCCCACACTATCTATAATCCCTATCCCACACTGCCTATAATCTGTATCCCACACTATCTATAATCTCTATCCCACACTATCTATAATCCCTATCCCACACTATCTATAATCTGTATCACACACTATCTATAATCCCTATCCCACACTTATCTATAATCTCTATTCCACACTATCTATAATCCCTATCCCACACTATCTATAATCCCTATCCCACACTATCTATAATCCCTATCCCACACTACCTATAATCTGTATCCCACACTATCTATAATCTCTATCCCACACTATCTATAATCCCTATCCCACACTATCTATAATCTGTATCACACACTATCTATAATCCCTATCCCACACTATCTATAATCCCTATCCCACACTTATCTATAATCTCTATTCCACACTATCTATAATCCATATCCCACACTATCTATAATCCCTATCCAACACTACCTATAATCTGTATCCCACACTATCTATAATCCCTATCCCACACTATCTATAATCCCTATCCCACACTACCTATTATCCCTATCCCACACTTATCTATAATCTGTATCCCACACTATCTATAATCCCTATCCCACACTATCTATAATCCCTATCCCACACTACCTATAATCCCTATCCCACACTTATCTATAATCTGTATCCCACACTATCTATAATCCCTATCCCACACTACCTATAATCCCTATCCCACACTTATCTATAATCCCTATCCTACACTATCTATAATCCCTATCCTACACTATCTATTATCTGTATCACACACTATCTATAATCCCTATCCCACACTATCTATAATCCATATCCTACACTATCTGTAATCCATATTCCATCAAGTTTTCCTATCGTGTATCATCATGACCCCATCATGCAGATATTGTGTGCACATCATGTAACATGTGATCGCATAACTGTATTAAACTCAATGATTCAAAATGTCCTGAATTTCTCAATGGTATGACAAAGAAAACATAACTTCCGATTACCATAGCTGTTAATCAGATCAAAATCATCACAATAGAAACATTTGATACACATGCTATGTTTTATAACCTTATTATTTGTACTTTACAAACTCACCTCTTCCAATTCACTGATTCTGGACTCTTTTTCATCTGTTGTACTGTGAAAAGAGATTTTAATATAGTACAATTTGGAGTTGTAATAAATGATATACTCAAATCAAAGTGCCAAGAGCACTTACAGATGGATTGAAATAAGGAAGTGTTACAGTTGGAATTACGATTAAGTATCCACTATAAAAACGTTCATTCACCGTTTGGCCACTGTTTGGCCTCCATCTGGCCATCGACCAACTCGCAACTGGCCACCATTCGCATCTGGCTCAGGCAGGTTAGATATACGATTGCCTGTTATCTGTAATATTGCATTCAGCTGGCCTCGTATCTGGCTTTTTTATTTGTTTTTTTCGGCCAGCCTTCCATTCGGCCGGCCTCTCCGTCTGGCTTTTTCATTTGTTTTTTTCGGCCAGCCTTCCAATCGGCCGGCCTCTCCGTCTGGATTTTTCATTTGTTTTTTTTGGCCTCGTAGTCAATTGGATGCGTTTGCATCATTAGATTATAACATAGGAACGCTTCATTTTAGATGTTTTATGAATATAATTCATATGTGATGTTACAATTACTGATGAATGCCACTACATTATTTAAGCTGGAGGTTCAGCTACAGGAAAAATCATTAATGAGGGAAGGGGCTTTGATTTACACCCAATAGGTCAGGGTGTATCTCTGAATTACAACAACTGCAATTTGGCTATAGGGCATTTTTTATATAAGGATTATATATAGTTTTTTTCATAAAATGAACATCAGTCACAACAGGTAGATTTAACTGTAAAACTGTTGCTAAAAATTATAATCTAAAACATGTGTTGAGATGGCCATTCATATATATAAACATATTCTATGTTTTCCTTATGACAGTAGTTAGAAGTACATTTTTTCATTCTTACACACTTACACACTTGTACACTACCAAACCTGTAAACTATAGGAGTAGGAGACTTACACAGTTGTACACTACCAAACCTGTAAACTACAGGAGGGCTTACACACTTGTACACTACCAAACCTGTAAACTATAGGAGGGCTTACACACTTGTACACTACCAAACCTATAAACTACAGGAGGGCTTACACACTTGTACACTACCAAACCTGTAAACTACAGGAGGGCTTACACACTTGTACACTACCAAACCTGTAAACTACAGGAGGGCTTACACACTTGTACACTACCAAACCTGTAAACTACAGGAGGGCTTACACACTTGTACACTACCAAACCTGTAAACTACAGGAGGGCTTACACACTTGTACACTACCAAACCTGTAAACTACAGGAGGGCTTACTTGTACACTACCATACTTGTAATCTACAGGAGGGCTTACACACTTGTACACTACCAAACCTGTAAACTACAGGAGGGCTTACACACTTGTACACTACCAAACCTGTAAACTACAGGAGGGCTTACACACTTGTACACTACCAAACCTGTAAACTACAGGAGGGCTTACACACTTGTACACTACCAAACCTGTAAACTACAGGAGGGCTTACACACTTGTACACTACCAAACCTATAAACAACAGGAGGGCTTACACACTTGTACACTACCAAACCTGTAAACTACAGGAGGGCTTACACACTTGTACACTACCAAACCTGTAAACTACAGGAGGGCTTACACACTTGTACACTACCAAACCTGTAAACTACAGGAGGACTTACACACTTGTACAGGAGGCACACTTGTACACTACCAAACCTGTAAACTACAGGAGGGCTTACACACTTGTACACTACCAAACCTGTAAACTACAGGAGGGCTTACACACTTGTACACTACCAAACCTGTAAACTACAGGAGGGCTTACACACTTGTACACTACCAAACCTGTAAACTACAGGAGGGCTTACACACTTGTACACTACCAAACCTGTAAACTACAGGAGGGCTTACACACTTGTACACTACCAAACCTGTAAACTACAGGAGGGCTTACACACTTGTACACTACCAAACCTTACACACTTGTACACTACCAAACCTGTAAACTACAGGAGGGCTTACACACTTGTACACTACCAAACCTGTAAACTACAGGAGGGCTTACACACTTGTACACTACCAAACCTGTAAACTACAGGAGGGCTTACACACTTGTACAGGAGGGCTTACACACTTGTACACTACCAAACCTGTAAACTACAGGAGGGCTTACACACTTGTACACTACCAAACCTGTAAACTATAGGAGTAGGAGACTTACACAGTTGTACACTACCAAACCTGTAAACTACAGGAGGGCTTACACACTTGTACACTACCAAACCTGTAAACTACAGGAGGGCTTACACACTTGTACACTACCAAACCTGTAAACTACAGGAGGGCTTACACACTTGTACACTACCAAACCTGTAAACTACAGGAGGGCTTACACACTTGTACACTACCAAACCTGTAAACTACAGGAGGGCTTACACACTTGTACACTACCAAACCTTAAACACACTTTGTACACTACCAAACCTGTAAACTACAGGAGGGCTTACACACTTGTACACTACCAAACCTGTAAACTACAGGAGGGCTTACACACTTGTACAACCTGTAAACTACAGGAGGGCTTACACACTTGTACACACTGTAAACTGTACACTACCAAACCTGTAAACTACAGGAGGGCTTACACACTTGTACACTACCAAACCTGTAAACTACAGGAGGGCTTACACACTTGTACACTACCAAACCTGTAAACTACAGGAGGGCTTACACACTTGTACACTACCAAACCTGTAAACTACAGGAGGGCTTACACACTTGTACACTACCAAACCTGTAAACTACAGGAGGGCTTACACACTTGTACACTACCAAACCTGTAAACTACAGGAGGGCTTACACACTTGTACACTACCAAACCTGTAAACTACAGGAGGGCTTACACACTTGTACACTACCAAACCTGTAAACTACAGGAGGGCTTACACACTTGTACACTACCAAACCTGTAAACTACAGGAGGGCTTACACACTTGTACACTACCAAACCTGTAAACTACAGGAGGGCTTACACACTTGTACACTACCAAACCTGTAAACTACAGGAGGGCTTACACACTTGTACACTACCAAACCTGTAAACTACAGGAGGGCTTACACACTTGTACACTACCAAACCTGTAAACTACAGGAGGGCTTACACACTTGTACACTACCAAACCTGTAAACTACAGGAGGGCTTACACACTTGTACACTACCAAACCTGTAAACTACAGGAGGGCTTACACACTTGTACACTACCAAACCTGTAAACTACAGGAGGGCTTACACACTTGTACACTACCAAACCTGTAAACTACAGGACTTGTACACTACCAAACCTTACACACTTGTACACTACCACACCTGTAAACTACAGGAGGGCTTACACACTTGTACACTACCAAACCTGTAAACTACAGGAGGGCTTACACACTTGTACACTACCAAACCTGTAAACTACAGGAGGGCTTACACACTTGTACACTACCAAACCTGTAAACTACAGGAGGGCTTACACACTTGTACACTACCAAACCTGTAAACTACAGGAGGACTTACACACTTGTACACTACCAAACCTGTAAACTACAGGAGGGCTTACACACTTGTACACTACCAAACCTGTAAACTACAGGAGGGCTTACACACTTGTACACTACCAAACCTGTCAGGTCACAAATAGTGAGTAAACAAACAACTGGGTAGAACACATTAATCTGGTCAATACACAGGTAATCAGCAAGTGTCCAGTGTCACACCTGGGTGAACACTGGGACACAGGTAATTAAGTGTCCAGTGTCATCTAAGTCTGGACGAGATACAGGTGTTATTTACCTGTATATTTTCACACCAGACACAGACTGAGGAAGTAGATGATGTACCATTATTGTAAAACCTAACTTTATCTATTATATATCAGAATGTAATGAGAAATGTATATATACATACGGGTTATTGACATAGTTTAATTCAACTGAAATTTATTAACACATACATACTAACAATTGTAAGGTTAAATGAACAAAAACTTGTACAAACAATTAATCTTATTATCAACTGCATACCAACAATACCTATTCAATGTTCATTGAATTAAAGCAATACTATTCAGAACATTGCATTTTGCTGATGATGTCTCATATTTCTGTTAACAAATCCAACTTTTATAAGTTCATAATGTATGATATACATACACATATATCATAGATGAGAAAGCTTAAATGCTCGGTCATTCTAAAAAAACATGTCATTTTATAACTTAAAATAAGGCAGAATAGAGTGTATGAGAAATAGTGATGAGCATTCTAAAGGGTAGGTTATTTTAAAAACCCGATATATATATGAAATAAATTTCATCAGTTTAAATAAAAAATGATATTAGACTATTTGTCATTGTTAAGAAAATAATAATTGGTAGACACCTATACATGTACGTTCAAGTATAATTATAATCAAAGATAACATATTTATATGGAAAGCTAACTCTCCACTACATGTTTTCAATGGCTTCAATGAGATTTTATAAAATAACATTTGTTCTATTTTGGTATTTTTCTTGGTTATTGATTCATTCAAATAAATGACACAACACAGGTAGAGCTGAATTTACCTGCTTTTAGCCTATATCTGAAATTTACTGTAATTGGTTTAACCATTGTCACAATAAAACAACATCTGTCTTTGTCTCATAAAAAGTGATGTCCAGGTAAAACCCTGGTTAACCTTGGACTGTTAGGTGGTCACTCATTCTGCGTTATGTTTTAGAAATTTTCTCTCATTACCTGTCTGTAGTTAGATATGATTGAATGCATGGCCAGAGAAAAACCAATTAAAAATGACATTTCCAATCATTTATTCGTTTAAGCATATCGACCATTCGGCTTATAGCAGCTGAAACTGTACATAGCATTGTATCGGATCAAGTAGCTGAAACTGTACATAGCATTGTGTCAGATCAAGTAGCTGAAACTGTACATAGCATTGTGTCGGATCAAGTAGCTGAAACTGTACATAGCATTTTGTCAGATCAAGTAGCTGAAACTGTACATAGCATTGTGTCGGATCAAGTAGCTGAAACTGTACATAGCATTGTGTCGGATCAAGTAGCTGAAACTGTACATAGCATTGTGTCAGATCAAGTAGCTGAAACTGTACATAGCATTGTGTCGGATCAAGTAGCTGAAACTGTACATAGCATTGTGTCGGATCAAGTAGCTGAAACTGTACATAGCATTCGGTTTGATCAAGTAGCTGAAACTGTACATAGCATTCGGTCCGATCAAGTAGCTGTATTGTTTGGCTTTCGATCAGCCACCATTTGCCAACAACTGTCCAGCGACTGATCACCGTCTGGTCACTCTTTGGCCCGACAAAAAGTGGATGCTTAGTCGTAATTCTAACTGTATATCAGTACAGGATGGCAAAAAATCACTTCAGAAATTTTGTAAGGATCAGCTGGAAATTTATAAGGAAAATAATGGAAATCATTTACCATGTTCATTTTAGCTGATGAAAAATATGTGAAAGGAGACATAATAATAATCTGTTAACTTCCTACTGATGGGGAGAGAACATGTTGATTTCAAGTGGCTTTCCCTTGTCAATCATCACACTGAACAGAAAGTAAAAGTTCAGACTGTTTTTTGATGAAACACCCCATTTTGGAAGATTTCTAATTTTTTTCTAGATAAATCTTTGTTTCCTACACAGATAAATCTTTGTTTCCTACAGATAAATCTTTGTTTCCTACAGATAAATCTTTGTTTCCTACTCAGATAAATCTTTGATTTCTACTCAGATAAATCTTTGTTTCCTACAGATAAATCTTTGTTTCCTACAGATAAATCTTTGTTTCCTACAGATAAATCTTTGTTTCCTACACAGATAAATCTTTGTTTCCTACAGATAAATCTTTGTTTTCTACACAGATAAATCTTTGTTTCCTACTCAGATAAATCTTTGATTTCTACTCAGATAAATCTTTGTTTCCTACAGATAAATCTTTGTTTCCTACTCAGATAAATCTTTGTTTCCTACACAGATAAATCTTTGTTTCCTACAGATAAATCTTTGTTTCCTACAGATAAATCTTTGTTTCACAGATAAACTCAGATAAATCTTTGTTTCCTACAGATAAATCTTTGTTGCCTACAGATAAATCTTTGTTTCCTACAGATAAATCTTTGTTTCCTACAGATAAATCTTTGTTTCCTACAGATAAATCTTTTGTTTCCTACACAGATAAATCTTTGTTTCCTACACCGATAAATCTTTTGTTTCCTACACAGATCAATCTTTGTTTCCTACACAGATAAATCTTTGTTTCCTACACAGATAAATCTTTGTTTCCTACACAGATAAATCTTTGTTTCCTACAGATAAATCTTTGTTTCCTACAGAGATCAATCTTTGTTTCCTACAGATAAATCTTTTGTTTCCTACACAGATAAATCTTTGTTTCCAACATATATAAATCTTTGTTTCCTACACAGATAAATCTTTGTTTCCTACAGATAAATCTTTGTTTCCTACAGATAAATCTTTGTTTCCTACACAGATAAATCTTTGTTTCCTACAGATAAATCTTTGTTTCCTACAGATAAATCTTTGTTTCCTACACAGATAAATCTTCTACACAGATAAATCTTTGTTTCCTACAGATAAATCTTTGTTTCCTACAGATAAATCTTTGTTTCCTACAGATAAATCTTTGTTTCCTACAGATAAATCTTTGTTTCCTACTCAGATAAATCTTTGTTTCCTACAGATAAATCTTTGTTTCCTACTCAGATAAATCTTTGTTTCCTACAGATAAATCTTTGTTTCCTACACAGATAAATCTTTGTTTCCTACAGATAAATCTTTGTTTCCTACAGATAAATCTTTGTTTCCTACAGATAAATCTTTTGTTTCCTACACAGATAAATCTTTGTTTCCTACACCGATAAATCTTTGTTTCCTACACAGATCAATCTTTGTTTCCTACACAGATAAATCTTTGTTTCCTACAGATAAATCTTTGTTTCCTATCTTTGTTTCCTACAGATAAATCTTTGTTTCCTACACAGATAAATCTTTGTTTCCAACATATATAAATCTTTGTTTCCTACATATATAAATCTTTGTTTCCTACAGATAAATCTTTGTTTCCTACACAGATAAATCTTTGTTTCCTACACAGATAAATCTTTGTTTCCTACACAGATAAATCTTTGTTTCCTACAGATAAATCTTTGTTGTACATAGATAAATCTACAGATAAACACAGATAAATCTTTGTTTCCTACACAGATAAATCTTTGTTTCCTACAGATAAATCTTTGTTTCCTACAGATAAATCTTTGTTTCCTACAGATAAATCTTTGTTGCCTACAGATAAATCTTTGTTTCCTACTCAGATATATCTTTGTTTCCAACATACATAAATCTTTGTTTCCTACAGATAAATCTTTGTTTCCTACACAGATAAATACAGATAAATCTTTGTTTCCTACACAGATAAATCTTTGTTTGTAATCTTTGTTTCCTACAGATAAATCTTTGTTTCCTACACAGATAAATCTTTGTTTCCTACAGATAAATCTTTGTTTCCTACAGATAAATCTTTGTTTCCTACACAGATCAATCTTTGTTTCCTACACAGATAAATCTTTGTTTCCTACACAGATAAATCTTTGTTTCCTACAGATAAATCTTTGTTTCCTACACAGATAAATCTTTGTTTCCTACAGATAAATCTTTGTTTCCTACAGATAAATCTTTGTTTCCTACACAGATAAATCTTTGTTTCCTACAGATAAATCTTTAATCTTTGTTTCCTACTCAGATAAATCTTTGTTTCCTACACAGATAAATCTTTGTTTCCTACAGATAAATCTTTGTTTCCTACAGATAAATCTTTGTTTCCTACACAGATAAATCTTTGTTTCCTACAGATAAATCTTTGATTTCTACACAGATAAATCTTTGTTTCCTACAGATAAATCTTTGTTTCCTACAGATAAATCTTTGTTTCCTACACAGATAAATCTTTGTTTCCTACACAGATAAATCTTCTACACAGATAAATCTTTGTTTCCTACAGATAAATCTTTGTTTCCTACTCAGATAAATCTTTGTTTCCTACAGATAAATCTTTGTTTCCTACAGATAAATCTTTGATTTCTACACAGATAAATCTTTGTTTCCTACAGATAAATCTTTGTTTCCTACAGATAAATCTTTGTTTCCTACACAGATAAATCTTTGTTTCCTACAGATAAATCTTTTGTTTCCTACACAGATAAATCTTTGTTTCCTACAGATAAATCTTTGTTTCCTACACAGATAAATCTTTGTTTCCTACAGATAAATCTTTGTTTCCTACACAGATAAATCTTTGTTTCCTACAGATAAATCTTTGTTTCCTACACAGATAAATCTTTGTTTCCTACAGATAAATCTTTGTTTCCTACTCAGATAAATCTTTGTTTCCTACAGATAAATCTTTGTTTCCTACAGATAAATCTTTCTCCTACAGATAAATCTTTGTTTCCTACTCAGATAAATCTTTGTTTCCTACAGATAAATCTTTTGTTTCCTACACAGATAAATCTTTGTTTCCTACAGATAAATCTTTGTTTCCTACACAGATAAATCTTTGTTTCCTATACAGATAAATCTTTGTTTCCTACACAGATAAATCTTTGTTTCCTACAGATAAATCTTTGTTTTTAAACTACCGATAAATCTTTGTTTCCTACACAGATAAATCTTTGTTTCCTACACAGATAAATCTTTGTTTCCTACAGATAAATCTTTGTTTCCTACAGATAAATCTTTGATTTCTACACAGATAAATCTTTGTTTCCTACAGATAAATCTTTGTTTCCTACAGATAAATCTTCTACACAGATAAATCTTTGTTTCCTACAGATAAATCTTTGTTTCCTACACAGATAAATCTTTGTTTCCTACAGATAAATCTTTGTTTCCTACAGATAAATCTTTGTTTCCTACAGATAAATCTTTGTTTCCTACACAGATAAATCTTTGTTTCCTACACAGATAAATCTTTGTTTCCAACACAGATAAATCTTTGTTTCCTACACAGATAAATCTTTGTTTCCAACACAGATAAATCTTTGTTTCCAACATATATAAATCTTTGTTTCCTACACAGATAAATCTTTGTTTCCTACAGATAAATCTTTGATTTCTACACAGATAAATCTTTGTTTCCTACAGATAAATCTTTGATTTCTACACAGATAAATCTTTGTTTCCTACAGATAAATCTTTGTTTCCTACAGATAAATCTTTGTTTCCTACACAGATAAATTTCCTACAAGATAAATCTTTGTTTCCTACACAGATAAATCTTTGTTTCTACACAGATAAATCTTTGTTTATACTATCTTTGATAAATAAATCTTTGTTTCCTACAGATAAATCTTTGTTTCCTACAGATAAATCTTTGTTTCCTACAGATAAATCTTTGTTTCCTCAAACTTGTTTTTACAGATAAATCTTTGTTTCTACTACAGATAAATCTTTGTTTCCTACAGATAAATCTTTCACACAGATAAATCTTTTTTCCTCACAGATAAATCTTTGTTTCCACACAGATAAATCTTTGTTTCCTAGATAAATCTTTGTTTCCTATTCATTGTTTCCTACAGATTGTTTCTACACAGATAAATCTTTGTTTCTACAGATAAACAGATAAATCTTTGTTTCCTACAGATAAATCTTTTGTTTCCTACACAGATAAATCTTTGTTTCCTACAGTAGACACCACTCTACTTCTCTGACTACATCTAAACTCACCTTGACCACAGCCTGATCCTGCTGTTTCTGTAGACACCTCTCTACTTCTCTGACTACATCTAAACTCACCTTGACCACAGCCTGATCCTGCTGTTTCTGTAGACACCTCTCTACTTCTCTGACTACATCTAAACTCACCTTGACCACAGCCTGATCCTGCTGTTTCTGTAGACACCACTCTACTTCTCTGACTACATCTAAACTCACCTTGACCACAGCCTGATCCTGCTGTTTCTGTAGACACCTCTCTACTTCTCTGACTACATCTAAACTCACCTTGACCACAGCCTGATCCTGCTGTTTCTGTAAACACATCTCTACTTCTCTGACTACATCTAAACTTACCTTGACCACAGCCTGATCCTGCTGTTTCTGTAGACACCTCTCTACTTCTCTGACTACATATACACTCACCTTGACCACAGCATGATCCTGCTGTTTCTGTAGACACCTCTCTACTTCTCTGACTACATCTAAACTCACCTTGACCACAGCATGATACTGCTGTTTCTGTAGACATCTCTCTACTTCTCTGACTACATCTAATCTCACCTTGACCACAGCCTGATCCTGCTGTTTCTGTAGACGCCGTTCAACTTCTCTAACTACATCTTCATGCTCCTCTCTACTTAAGACATTGCCAACCAGCTGCAGCCCCTCTGGTGAGTTGGTCTGTTTCTCCATGGCTTTGAGATCTGTTTGTGCTTCACCTTGGGCATAGCTCTGTACTTTGGTTTGAGCCTCTTTGGGAAGGTATTCCTTTACAGTTGTCTGTGTCCCCCCCTGGGCTAGTACAACAGTTTTTGTCTGCGTCCCCCCTTGGGCTAGTACAACAGTTTTTGTCTGTGATACACCAGTTTTCACTTGTGTGGCTTCTGTCTGAGACTCCATGTGTGTACCCTCAAATACTTCTGTTTGGATTTGTTGCTGAGAGAGTTGGGTTTTGTCTGTCTGTGACTGTGACTGTGTTACCTCTTGTACTATAGTCTGTGTCTCCTGTCCTGTCACTTGAGCTGGTTCTGTTTGTACAGAGAGGGGTTTACTCTCCTTTACTTCGGTCTGTGACTCTCTCTGTACAACCACTTTGTCACGGATTGTATTCAGTTCTAATGCTATTGTTGCCTTCTCCTCAAGTAACTTGTCTCTGATAGTTTCAAGTTCTTTCTTGAAATCCTCTGACAGGATATTTTTTTGTTTCTCTAATTCTGCATCTTTTTCATTTTCTAATAGAATTCTTATGCTTGTCTCACTTCTCTGAAATTTTTCTTCCAATTCTTTTTTTAATTTTTCCACCTCCTCTTCCTTTTCTGACACAAACTGTTTTGATAAATTTTCTATACCACTTTTATGTTCCTCAAGAAGGTTTTCTTTTTCATTATGAAATTTTTTTGATAATGCTTCCTTTTCTTCCTCAATTTGTTTTTTCATTCTTTCTTTAAAATCCTCTTCCATAATTTTAGTTATGCCATCTTTTTCAGTTTGGAATTTTGCCATCATTTTCTCTTCCAATAGGATTTTTTCTTTCTCAGCTTTCTCCAACATTGATTCTTTTTCCTTCAGCAAGTTTTCTTTTTCAGTAACTATCTTTTCGAGTTCATCAATCTGTAACTGAATTTCTGCCCTGAGTTTGTCTAGCTCTACCTCCATTTCTAAAGAGTGCTGCTTTGTTAGTTCAGAAATTTCTGTTTGGTATGTGTTTTTTGCCTCAGTTAAATCATTTTCCAGCTTTTCTTTCTCTTGTTTTGCTTTTTCTTGTACCATATTTGATTGTTCTTTCAAAGATTCTGTCTGACTTTCGAGTTCTGTTATCCTACCCTTGTCACTTTCACTTACAATCTTTATTTCTGACAGTTGATATCTTAACTCTGTTACTTTTTCTTCCAATGTTTTTCTCACTAATGCAACATCCTCCTTCGCAATAACCAAAGCCTGCTGTAGAGTTTCCACTTCTGCTTTTTGTTCTGATATTTGTTGATTGGATTGTTTGAGTTGTTCCTCCAATTCATTTCTGATTTTCTCTGCATCAGCAATGTGTTTTTCTATGTTAATCCTCTCTTCTTCACTTCTATGTGCATCAAACTGTTGTAAAGTTTCAAGTATTTTTTTCTTATTGGATTCAAATTCATCTTGAAATTCTAATTTGCTATTCACATATGTTGTTTGAAATGAACTTAAAGATGATTTCATCTGTGGTAAGTGTACACTTACATATTCCTGAAAAGTTTTAAGTTTAGAAGATACAACAGTGTCCCTAGCCTTGTACTCAACATTTTCCTTCTCCAGTCTCTCTACGTAAGCTGCCTTGTTTTCTAGGAGTTTTTCACTGCTAGGTTTAACTGTACTTGGTTTAGAACAAGTTGGCGGTGAGTCTGCTATAGATGAAGGCATTGAATCTTCAATATAGAAATCAGCTGTAGTGAACTCCTGAGATGTTTCCATGTCAGGAGACAATTCTGCCCCTTGCCTGCGTCTTGGTGTTATTTTTCGCCCTGAACTCTCACCACTTTTCTCCTCACCACTGTTTTGAGCATTCTCTTGTCCAGATGAATCACTCCCAGTTGACTTAATTTGCTCACCAGATGAAGTAGAGGCTCCTGAAGCCTCCCCAGAGGTTTTCAGCATCACTTGTTGCCCTTTGACTGGCAAGCTTGTCACAGCAGTACCTCCACTAGCCACAGTACCCTCGTTTGAATCCTCACTACCCTCCCCTTTCATTTGCTGCGTGAGGTCTTCTGAAAGACTTCTGGGCATTAAAAGTTCGGGTTTTAATTGGTCAGTGTCATTATCACTTTTGATCACAAGGTTTGCATCCAGTTCAGAATTAGCCACTTGTTCACCAAGAGAAACACTATCTCGGTCACAAGTCAGGTACTGATCATCCACACTGTGGATGATTTCAATCTCTGATGTGACTATAGAGCTATGTTTAAACAGCTGAGGAAATTTGCTTTTTGTAATGTCTGTGGTACCTGGTGGTAGAGCAGCCTCTAATGGTACCCTAAAATAAAGATTTAGTCATGAGTATATCTTACTGCTGTCTATCCCATGCCTCTCAGACATAAGAAGGGACTTGTATGACCACTAAAGTTCCACCTGTATCGAGACTCAATATCAGTAGAATGATAACATTAGTTACACCTGTATCGAGACTCAATATCAGTAGAATGATAACATTAGTTACACCTGTATCGAGACTCAATATCAGTAGAATGATAACATTAGTTCCACCTGTATCGAGACTCAATATCAGTAGAATGATAACATTAGTTACACCTGTATCGAGACTCAATATCAGTAGAATGATAACATTAGTTACACCTGTATCGAGACTCAATATCAGTAGAATGATAACATTAGTTCCACCTGTATCGAGACTCAATATCAGTAGAATGATAACATTAGTTACACCTGTATCGAGACTCAATATCAGTAGAATGATAACATTAGTTACACCTGTATCGAGACTCAATATCAGTAGAATGATAACATCAGTTACACCTGTATCGTGACTCAATATCAGTAGAATGATAACATTAGTTCCACCTGTATCGAGACTCAATATCAGTAGAATGATAACATTAGTTACACCTGTATCGAGACTCAATATCAGTAGAATGATAACATCAGTTACACCTGTATCGAGACTCAATATCAGTAGAATGATAACATCAGTTACACCTGTACTCAATATCAGTAGAATGATAACATCAGTTACACCTGATCAATATCAGTAGAATGATAACATTAGTTACACCTGTATCGAGACTCAATATCAGTAGAATGATAACATTAGTTACACCTGTATCGAGACTCAATATCAGTAGAATGATAACATTAGATAACATTATATCAGTAGAATGATAACATTAGTTACACCTGTATCGAGACTCAATATCAGTAGAATGATAACATTAGTTACACCTGTATCGAGACTCAATATCAGTAGAATGATAACATTAGTTACACCTGTATCGAGACTCAATATCAGTAGAATGATAACATTAGTTACACCTGTATCGAGACTCAATATCAGTAGAATGATAACATCAGTTACACCTGTATCGAGACTCAATATCAGTAGAATGATAACATCAGTTACACCTGTATCGAGACTCAATATCAGTAGAATGATAACATCAGTTACACCTGTATCGAGACTCAATATCAGTAGAATGATAACATCAGTTACACCTGTATCGAGACTCAATATCAGTAGAATGATAACATTAGTTACACCTGTATCGAGACTCAATATCAGTAGAATGATAACATTAGTTACACCTGTATCGAGACTCAATATCAGTAGAATGATAACATTAGTTACACCTGTATCGAGACTCAATATCAGTAGAATGATAACATTAGTTACACCTGTATCGAGACTCAATATCAGTAGAATGATAACATTAGTTACACCTGTATCGAGACTCAATATCAGTAGAATGATAACATTAGTTACACCTGTATCGAGACTCAATACTCAATATCAGTAGAATGATAACATTAGTTACACCTGTATCGAGACTCAATATCAGTAGAATGATAACATTAGTTACACCTGTATCGAGACTCAATATCAGTAGAATGATAACATTAGTTACACCTGTATCGAGACTCAATATCAGTAGAATGATAACATCAGTTACACCTGTATCGAGACTCAATATCAGTAGAATGATAACATTAGTTACACCTGTATCGAGACTCAATATCAGTAGAATGATAACATCAGTTACACCTGTATCGAGACTCAATATCAGTAGAATGATAACATTAGTTACACCTGTATCGAGACTCAATATCAGTAGAATGATAACATTAGTTACACCTGTATCGAGACTCAATATCAGTAGAATGATAACATTAGTTACACCTGTATCGAGACTCAATATCAGTAGAATGATAACATTAGTTACACCTGTATCGAGACTCAATATCAGTAGAATGATAACATTAGTTACACCTGTATCGAGACTCAATATCAGTAGAATGATAACATTAGTTACACCTGTATCGAGACTCAATATCAGTAGAATGATAACATTAGTTACACCTGTATCGAGACTCAATATCAGTAGAATGATAACATTAGTTACACCTGTATCAGTAGAATGATAACATTAGTTCAATATCAGTAGAATGATAACATCAGTTACACCTGTATCGAGACTCAATATCAGTAGAATGATAACATCAGTTACACCTGTATCGAGACTCAATATCAGTAGAATGATAACATTAGTTACACCTGTATCGAGACTCAATATCAGTAGAATGATAACATTAGTTACACCTGTATCAAAACTCAGCATCACTTGTATTATTACATGACTTACATCTGTATTGAGATTACCATCACTAGTACATGAAGATGATAAACATTTGACTTAACAACATCTGATCCTAAGAATAACATAGAGTACATACTTAAGCTGTTCTGCCAGCTCAGGCACGGCCTCTTTCAGCATGGTGATGTCATCAGACGTGATGTTTGGTAAGTTCTGGTCAAAATCTGATGGTGTCTTATTCTGTGGATAAAAATTCAGGATTACTATGTCAGTAAATAAGAGAGCACAGTAGTAGAAGGCAATCTACAATGTAGTGATTTCATTTTTTATCATCAGTGTATTGAGGTCAAAGTTTAGATTTAGAGGTCAAGAAGTGAACGTTTTTGTCACAGCTACAAAGTTAAGATTTCTAAGTGAAGTGCTCAAAATCTTGACCTCTGATATCCATGCTGTTTTTTTGTAAGAACTAAGTATTAATTTGTTATATTAAGTCAGAAGAGACTTAACTAAGGATGAGTGGGTCAATAATGACCTGCCAGTAATCAATAGCTGAGCAGTGGACAAGCTATGTATACAAACAAAAGTACAGGCAGTAGAGCTAATGCTGGTATGTTGCTTGGGTGGTTGTTCGGTTCCTATACTCTTCAACTAGTTACTCAATAGTATACAGGGTTATCCATCAGTAGAAAAAATCAGGCAAAAAATATCAACTGCAACAGCATTACAGTAGGTTGTTTAAATTCACTGCATGTCTATTGCCCGGTTTTGCCCTAAACAGGCTTCTGCAGATGCTGTTGCTGAAAAGTTATGTATACTCTCCATGACTTTCTAAAACAATCCAAACTAAAAAAAAGTAAATAAGCAATTTTGAAGTGATTAAAGATCGGGTATGATAATGATGACATGTACTCACAATAACAGTGACAGGGACATCATCTAGACCCTGGAACAGTGTCTGTAGGAAGTGATGCCCTAGATATAAAAACAGTCACAGAAACCATTAAACACATCACCAACTGCCTGAAACACATCTCACATATAAATACACAATCTTAATCAGTAAAAATCAATGATTCTGTTTTGTTCAGTTCACTACATGAAAAAAACAATTTCGTTAAGTAACTTTGTGCATTGTAAAACTACTTTTCAACTTACCAACTTCACTTTGAAAACTCTGTCTGCGTTTTACCTCCTCTGAGTGAACAGAATTAAAGTCATCTGCTACAGTTGCTGCCCACTACAAAATATACACTATCAGTATCACCACTACATCATCAAAACATAATATACACTATCAGTATCACCACTACATAATATACACTAACAGTATCACCACTACATAATATACACTAACAGTATCACCACTACATAATATACACTAACAGTATCACCAATACATCACCACTACATAATATACACTATCAGTATCACCACTACATCACCACTACATAATATACACTATCAGCATCACCACTACATAATATACACTAACAGTATCACCACTACATCACCACTACATAATATACACTAACAGTATCACCACTACATCACCACTACATAATATACACTAACAGTATCACCACTACATAAAATACACTAACAGTATCACCACTACATAATATACACTAACAGTATCACCAATACATCACCACTACATAATATACACTAACAGTATCACCACTACATCACCACTACATAATATACACTATCAGTATCACCACTACATAATATACACTAACAGTATCACCACTACATCACCACTACATAATATACACTAACAGTATCACCACTACATAATATACACTAACAGTATCACCACTACATAATATACACTAACAGTATCACCACTACATAATATACACTAACAGTATCACCACTACATAATATACACTAACAGTATCACCACTACATAATATACACTAACAGTATCACCAATACATCACCACTACATAATATACACTAACAGTATCACCACTACATAAGTATCACCACTACATAATATACACTAACAGTATCACCACTACATCACCACTACATAATATACACTATCAGTATCACCACTACATCACCACTACATAATATACACTATCAGTATCACCACTACATCACCACTACATAATATACACTAACAGTATCACCACTACATCACCACTACATAATATACACTAACAGTATAATATACACTAACAGTATCACCACTACATCACCACTACATAATATACACTATCAGTATCACCACTACATCACCACTACATAATATACACTAACAGTATCACCACTACATAATATACACTAACAGTATCACCACTACATAATATACACTAACAGTATCACCACTACATCACCACTACATAATATACACTAACAGTATCACCACTACATAATATACACTAACAGTATCACCACTACATAATATACTATCAGTATCACCACTACATCACCACTACATAATATACACTAACAGTATCACCACTACATAATATACACACACTATCACCACACATAATATACATCACCACTACATAATATACACTAACAGTATCACCACTACATCACCACTACATAATATACACTAACAGTATCACCACTACATAATATACACTATCAGTATCACCACTACATCACCACTACATAATATACACTAACAGTATCACCACTACATAATATACACTAACAGTATCACCACTACATAATATACACTAACAGTATCACCACTACATAATATACACTATCAGTATCACCACTACATCACCACTACATAATATACACTAACAGTATCACCACTACATAATATACACTAACAGTATCAACACTACATCACCACTACATAATATACACTAACAGTATCACCACTACATCAATATACACTAGTATCACAGTATCACCACTACATAATATACACTACATAATATACACTAACACATCACCACTACATAATATACACTAACAGTATCACCACTACATAATATACACTAACAGTATCACCACTACATAATATACACTAACAGTATCACCACTACATAATATACACTAACAGTATCACCACTTCACCACTACATTATATACACTACCTGTTTCACCACTACATAATATACACTAACAGTATCACCACTACATAATATACACTAACAGTATCACCACTACATCATATACACAACAAGTATCACCACTCCATCACCACTACATAATATACACTAACAGTATCACCACTACATAATATACACTAACAGTATCACCACTACATCACCACTACATAATATACACTATCAGTATCACCACTACATAATATACACTAACAGTATCACCACTACATCACCACTACATAATATACACTAACAGTATCACCATACACTACAGTATCACCACTACATAATATACACTAACAGTATCACCACTACATCACCACTACATAATATACACTAACAGTATCACCACTACATAATATACACTAACAGTATCACCACTACATAATATACACTAACAGTATCACCACTACATAATATACACTAACAGTATCACCACTACATAATATACACTAACAGTATCACCACTACATAATATACACTAACAGTATCACCACTACATAATATACACTATACCACCACTACATAATATACACTAACAGTATCACCACTACATAATATACACTATCAGCATCACTACTACATAATATACACTAACAGTATCACCACTACATCACCACTACATAATATACACTAACAGTATCACCACTACATAATATACACTAACAGTATCACCACTACATAATATACACCACAGTATCACATACATATACACTAACAGTATCACCACTACATAATATACACTAACAGTATCACCACTACATAATATATACACTATCACCACTATCACCACTACATAATATACACTAACAGTATCACCACTACATAATATACACTAACAGTATCACCACTACATCACCACTACATAATATACACTAACAGTATCACCACTACATAATATACACTAACAGTATCACCACTACATAATATACACTAACAGTATCACATAATATACACTACAGTATCACCACTACATAATATACACTAACAGTATCACCACTACATAATATACACACTACATAATATACACTACATCACCACTACATAATATACACTAACAGTATCACCACTACATAATATACACTAACAGTATCACCACTACATCACCACTACATAATATACACTATCAGTATCACCACTACATAATATACACTAACAGTATCACCACTACATCACCACTACATAATATACACTATCAGTATCACCACTACATAATATACACTAACAGTATCACCACTACATAATATACACTAACAGTATCACCACTACATCACCACTACATAATATACACTAACAGTATCACCACTACATCACCACTACATAATATACACTAACAGTATCACCACTACATAATATACACTAACAGTATCACCACTACATCACCACTACATAATATACACTAACAGTATCACCACTACATAATATACAGTATCACCACTACATAATATACACTAACAGTATCTACATAATATACACTAACAGTATCACCACTACATAATATACACTAACAGTATCACCACTACATCACCACTACATAATATACACTAACAGTACCACCACTACATAATATACACTAACAGTATCACCACTACATAATATACACTAACAGTATCACCACTACATAATATACACTAACAGTATCACCACTACATAATATACACTAACAGTATCACCACTACATCACCACTACATAATATACACTAACAGTATCACCACTACATCACCACTACATAATATACACTAACAGTATCACCACTACATAATATACACTAACAGTATCACCACTACATAATATACACTAACAGTATCACCACTACATAATATACACTAACAGTATCACCACTACATCACCACTACATAATATACACTAACAGTATCACCACTACATCACCACTACATAATATACACTAACAGTATCACCACTACATAATATACACTAACAGTATCACCACTACATCACCACTACATAATATACACTAACAGTATCACCACTACATAATATACACTATCAGTATCACCACTACATAATATACACTAACAGTATCACCACTACATCACCACTACATAATATACACTAACAGTATCACCACTACATAATATACACTAACAGTATCACCACTACATCACCACTACATAATATACACTAACAGTATCACCACTACATAATATACACTAACAGTATCACCACTACATCACCACAAAATATACCCCTTCACATCCTGACCCCTCCACCCCTTCAGTTATACATCATTCTGACCCCTCCATCCCTTCAGTTATACATCATTCTGATCACTTCACCCCTTCAGTTATACATCATTCTGACCCCTCCATCCCTTCAGTTATACATCATTCTGACCCCTCCATCCCTTCAGTTATACATTCTGACCCCTCCACCTCTTCAGTTATACATTCTGACCCCTCCACCCCTTCAGTTATACATCATTCTGACCCCTCCATCCCTTCAGTTATACATCATTCTGACCCCTCCATCCCTTCAGTTATACATTCTGACCCCTCCACCCCTTCAGTTATACATTCTGACCCCTCCACCCCTTCAGTTATACATCATTCTGACCCCTCCATCCCTTCAGTTATACATCATTCTGACCCCTCCACCCCTTCAGTTATACATTCTGACCCCTCCACCCCTTCAGTTATACATCATTCTGACCCCTCCATCCCTTCAGTTATACATCATTCTGACCCCTCCACCCCTTCAGTTATACATCATTCTGACCCCTCCACCCCTTCAGTTATACATCATTCTGACCCCTCCACCCCTTCAGTTATACATCCTGACCCCTCCACCCCTTCAATTATACATTCTGACCCCTCCACCCCTTCAGTTATACATTCTGACCCCTCCACCCCTTCAGTTATACATTCTGACCCCTCCACCCCTTCAGTTATACATCATTCTGACCCCTCCATCCCTTCAGTTATACATTCTGACCCCTCCACCCCTTCAGTTATACATCATTCTGACCCCTCCACCCCTTCAGTTATACATTCTGACCCCTCCACCCCTTCAGTTATACATCATTCTGACCCCTCCATCCCTTCAGTTATACATCCTGACCCCTCCACCCCTTCAGTTATACATCATTCTGACCCCTCCATCCCTTCAGTTATACATCCTGACCCCTCCACCCCTTAAGTTATACATCATTCTGACCCCTCCACCCCTTCAGTTATACATCATTCTGACCCCTCCACCCCTTCAGTTATACATTCTGACCCCTCCACCCCTTCAGTTATACATCATTCTGACCCCTCCATCCCTTCAGTTATACATTCTGACCCCTCCACCCCTTCAGTTATACATTCTGACCCCTCCACCCCTTCAGTTATACATTCTGACCCCTCCACCCCTTCAGTTATACATTCTGACCCCTCCACCCCTTCAGTTATACATCATTCTGACCCCTCCACCCCTTCAGTTATACATTCTGACCCCTCCACCCCTTCAGTTATACATCATTCTGACCCCTCCACCCCTTCAGTTATACATTCTGACCCCTCCACCCCTTCAGTTATACATTCTGACCCCTCCACCCCTTCAGTTATACATTCTGACCCCTCCACCCCTTCAGTTATACATTCTGACCCCTCCATCCCTTCAGTTATACATCATTCTGACCCCTCCACCCCTTCAGTTATACATTCTGACCCCTCCACCCCTTCAGTTATACATTCTGACCCCTCCACACCTTCAGTTATACATTCTGACCCCTCCACCCCTTCAGTTATACATTCTGACCCCTCCATCCCTTCAGTTATACATCATTCTGACCCCTCCACCCCTTCAGTTATACATCATTCTGATAACTCCACCCCTTCAGTTATACATCATTCTGACCCCTCCACCCCTTCAGTTATACATCCTGACCCCTTCACCCCTTCAGTTATACATTCTGACCCCTCCCCCCTTCAGTTATGCATCATTCTGGTAATACACACATTACTTACCTTTGTGAAGAAAGAGGCAAACTTTTTTCTGCGGACTACTTCCACCACAAGCTGGGCATACACTCGAGGGGCCTCATAAATCTGTTGCAGAATGTCCAAACGCTTCCTCAGTCTCTTTAGGTTTTCATGGTAAATCATGAGCTTTCCATCCACATCACAGATCATTTTCTCAACCCACATTACCCATCTGACCACACAAAGATATAAATAACCATATCATCAACCTCACCACATCCGAAATCAGATATATTTTCAGAAAATTTTCTCAACAATATTGTTCTGCAACTTTGTTCAAATATTTGAGGCTCCAATACAATATACATTTTAGACTGAATCATCAAAATGATTTTATTACTGAAATTGTGACATAGATATTTCTAATACGATCAAGTAAAGAAAAAGTATTTAAAAACAAACCATAGCTATACCTCACTATATATGTTTGAACTATCAACATTCTAATAACTTTCTAAACTACTTCTTATTGCCTCTCCCTCAGTTAATCTCCACTCCCTCAGTTAATCTCTCCTCCCTCAGTTAATCTCCCTTCCCTCAGTTAATCTCAGTATATATTCATATATATACATATATTCAGTAACTGACCTTAGCCGTGTATGGAGATTCACAGCTAGTTCTTCCTTCGCCATTTTGCATTTTTTCTTTTTGTCTCGGAGCATTTTGTGGTTGTTTACCATGACCAGCAGTTGTTTCTTGTGACTAGAGCAGAGGTCAGGTAGGATAGACTTGTCACGTAGATTACTGACTCGGCTCTGATTCTGAACTAAACCCTAGAACACACACAAAGCTGTTTTGAATACTTTACAAGTAATTATGTTCTATTCACTACCATTTACATTGCTATAATTTATATAAAAACACCAATAAATACAAAAATAATATGATAGTAAATACTGGGTGTAAAAACGATATCTTCATTGTATCTATAACAAACACTGGAAACCATAAATGCACTGAACATATTAATTACTCACTAAACCTTTATCTACAGGAATTTTCTCCCTGGTATTAGCCTATAAAGCATTGTGTACCTGTGCCATATCCGACTGCTCCTGGACTAGGCGACGTGCTACAGACATCATCTGGTCAAGTCCATACAGACGATCTTCCAGGCCCTTCACTTCCTTCATACTAATGTTGTCCACCTGTTTCAGGGTGCTCTGGACCTCCGTGGTCAGAGATTCCTGGATACGTGGGTCTAACTGTTCTGTGGCCTTCATACATTGATCCACCATGTCATTTAAGTTATGTTGAGGATCCTGTACAATCATATTTGTCAGTTACAACTTCCGTTTTCTAGCTTAATTGGTTGCAATAATTTAAAAAAGAACTTTGCAAAAATCTTTGCTTTTTATCAGCAAACTTTCCCATATATTCCATTTGTAACTAGCAGTTTGTTGTGGAGAGATATAAATTTGTGTAGTAATAAAGAACTAAAGATTCAGCATTTTCATATATACAGTATACTTGTAATACATGTATATCTTGACTAGCAAGTTTTTAATTTTGTATATAGAATTCATGGATCAAGCTTACATGTTATGATGAAGCCAATGAAATAGAATCAAACAACTCGTGTACAGAAACAGAACTCCCATGTAATATATCTCAGCATACAGTATTCAAAGGGCAGGAGATTTTCCCTCTCTAAAGATGTTGTCTGTTTGAATTTCCCAAACATTTGAAAAATATCTATCATACAACAAAAACATTTTATTCAATACATGTTTGTATTTACAAATACCTCATTTTAACTTTGTACATAACATTAAACCGTGCGTCAGTATTGTCAGTACCTGAGAGCTTATCCAGTCATACAGACTACCATTATTGTCCTCACTGGACCCGACCAGACCCGTGGAACACTCAGAGAGAAAAGATACCCCACTCAACAACACTGGCAGCACTGGGATCTTACTCAACAGCTGCAGGGAACTGATCACACTGAAAATAATATGTCGTGTGATTTAGTTCCAATGTTCAGACTTTTGCAAGTTTCCTACAAAAAATCTTTTAAATAGTTCACTGAAACTTTTATAGTTTTCTTGATATAATTTGTTAACTTAATTTTCAATATCTTTACATATATGTTAATTGTAATATCAATTCCTTGTTTGCTCACAAATCATTTTAGTAGTATTCAGAATTTGTTGCCTAAAACTGATAACCCCTTTCAACTTCAAAGCAAAGGTCGAAATGAGGGAGACACGATCATGAAAGAGAAACCTGCTTTATTGCCTCTGTATGTGATTAAATGAATCTAATCCAATATGAGGTTATATAAATGAGGTATAAATTACACGGACTTTTTGATATTGTGTAGAACACCAAACAACATACCTTGATAGTGTTTCTCTGTAGTCCTCTCTCTGACATAGGTACTCGTGGTATGCTGTCATGAATATCTCAGATCTCTGACGAAGAGCACTGTGAAACATAGCCACATATAGTTTGATATGAAAACTGGAGATCGCTTAAACAGGAATCGGTTGTAAATCATAAAACAGACAGTCTAACATGCAGCATCCATGGAAAACATCTTTGATTTACGTCTATGATATACCATATATGTTACATGGATATATAAGAAGTTTATTTATCCTGTCTAAAACATGGATCCCAAGGGAATTTCTTGAAAGTCTGATGCTCCCTCACTTCCCTCCAGCACTTTTATCCCAACCCCCTCCACTATCAGCTCTCCATCATCCTTAGACTGCTTTATTCATCCTCAACACAACACTGCTCCCTGACCCTCTACACTACTACCCTCCACCTGACCCTCCACACCACTCCCCGACACCTGACCCTCCACACCACTCCCCGACACCTGACCCTCCACACCACTCCCCGACACCAGACCCTCCACACCACTCCCCGACACCTGACCCTCCACACCACTCCCCGACACCTGACCCTCCACACCACTCCCCGACACTTGACACTCCACACCACTCCCTGACACCTGACCCTCCACACCACTCCCTGACACCTGACCCTCCACACTACCCCAGACACTCCAGACTTATATACCTGGTGATGTCCTCCAGATTAGCCACTACAGCAGCCCAACCTTGTTGCTGAAGATGCTGGTCATGAACTAGTTTCTCACATGCTTTCATTTCTTCTTTGTCTACATCATGAATTTGCTACAACACATTACAGAAAAATTAGATAAAAATTAATGTAACACAACTGAAATATGTATGAAATGATGTGTATATTTCTAAAAGAACTTAATGAATGTGTTGCCCAATATATTAACAATGATTTTCACTTAAATTTGAAGTCTTTTTCATTAGATTCATGTTTGTCCTATACAGTGTACACTGAGGCTGAATTGACCTGGTAGTAAAAAGATATTGATAAGACTTCACACTGGAAACTTTGTTAATGTAAACAATTTTCATCAATACTCAAATCAAAATGTTGTATATATTTCATTCCATGCTAATGGGCTATACCAATGGTGACATTTCACAATCAAAGATATACTCACCAGAGCCAGTTGAGCCCTGGAGACAACAGTAGCATATGCTGGGGGTAGCAGCAGTGATCCCTCAACCTGGCTGTGAATGTCTACATCTACAATACAACAAAACTCTAATAAGCTGACATTATAAGAGACTCCATGATAAATTATGTACATCTTGTAAATAGGGATCTACCTAGATCTATTACCACAGAGTGAGTTTCATCCCATATATATTTATATATCTATCTGATCCATAATGAACACTAGAAGGGGGTGTCATGGTGTTATCTGATCCATAATGAACACTAGAAGGGGATGTCATGGTGTCTTACATTGGTTCATGGTGTTATCTGATCCATAATGAACACTAGGAGAGGGGGGCGTCATGGTGTTATCTGATCCATAATGAACACTAGGAGAGGGGATGTCATGGTGTTATCTGATCCATAATGAACACTAGGAGAGGGGGCGTCATGGTGTTATCTGATCCATAATGAACACTAGGAGAGGGGGGCGTCATGGTGTTATCTGATCCATAATGAACACTAGGAGAGGGGGGCGTCATGGTGTTATCTGATCCATTATGAACACTAGGAGAGGGGGGTGTCATGGTGTTATCTGATCCATAATGAACACTAGAAGGGGGTGTCATGGTGTTATCTGATCCATAATGAACACTAGAAGGGGATGTCATGGTGTTATCTGATCCATTATGAACACTAGAAGGGGGCGTCATGGTGTTATCTGATCCATAATGAACACTAGGAGAGGGGGGCGTCATGGTGTTATCTGATCCATAATGAACACTAGGAGAGGGGGGCGTCATGGTGTTATCTGATCCATAATGAACACTAGGAGAGGGGGGCGTCATGGTGTTATCTGATCCATTATGAACACTAGGAGAGGGGGGCGTCATGGTGTTATCTGATCCATAATGAACACTAGGAGAGGGGGGCGTCATGGTGTTATCTGATCCATAATGAACACTAGGAGAGGGGGGCGTCATGGTGTTATCTGATCCATAATGAACACTAGGAGAGGGGGGTGTCATGGTGTTATCTGATCCATAATGAACACTAGAAGGGGGCGTCATGGTGTTATCTGATCCATAATGAACACTAGGAGAGGGGGGCGTCATGGTGTTATCTGATCCATAATGAACACTAGGAGAGGGGGGTGTCATGGTGTTATCTGATCCATAATGAACACTAGGAGAGGGGGTGTCATGGTGTTATCTGATCCATAATGAACACTATGGTGGAGAGGGGGGTGTCATGGTGTTATCTGATCCATAATGAACACTAGGAGAGGGGGGTGTCATGGTGTTATCTGATCCATAATGAACACTAGGAGAGGGGGGCGTCATGGTGTTATCTGATCCATAATGAACACTAGGAGAGGGGGGTGTCATGGTGTTATCTGATCCATAATGAACACTAGGAGAGGGGGGTGTCATGGTGTTATCTGATCCATAATGAACACTAGGAGAGGGGGGTGTCATGGTGTTATCTGATCCATAATGAACACTAGGAGAGGGGGGCGTCATGGTGTTATCTGATCCATAATGAACACTAGGAGAGGGGGGTGTCATGGTGTTATCTGATCCATAATGAACACTAGGAGAGGGGGGTGTCATGGTGTTATCTGATCCATAATGAACACTAGGAGAGGGGGGTGTCATGGTGTTATCTGATCCATAATGAACACTAGGAGAGGGGGGTGTCATGGTGTTATCTGATCCATAATGAACACTAGGAGAGGGGATGTCATGGTGTTATCTGATCCATAATGAACACTAGGAGAGGGGGGTGTCATGGTGTTATCTGATCCATAATGAACACTAGGAGAGGGGGGTGTCATGGTGTTATCTGATCCATAATGAACACTAGGAGAGGGGGTGTCATGGTGTTATCTGATCCATAATGAACACTAGGAGAGGGGGGTGTCATGGTGTTATCTGATCCATAATGAACACTAGGAGAGGGGGGTGTCATGGTGTTATCTGATCCATAATGAACACTAGGAGAGGGGGGTGTCATGGTGTTATCTGATCCATAATGAACACTAGGAGAGGGGGGCGTCATGGTGTTATCTGATCCATAATGAACACTAGGAGAGGGGGGCGTCATGGTGTTATCTGATCCATAATGAACACTAGGAGAGGGGGGTGTCATGGTGTTATCTGATCCATAATGAACACTAGGAGAGGGGGGTGTCATGGTGTTATCTGATCCATTATGAACACTAGGAGAGGGGGTGTCATGGTGTTATCTGATCCATAATGAACACTAGAAGGGGGCGTAGTCGTGTTATCTGATCAATAATGAACACTAGGAGAGGGGGGCGTCATGGTGTTATCTGATCCATAATGAACACTAGGAGAGGGGGGTGTCATGGTGTTATCTGATCCATAATGAACACTAGAAGAGGGGGGAGTCATGGTGTTATCTGATCCATAATGAACACTAGGAGAGGGGGGTGTCATGGTGTTATCTGATCCATAATGAACACTAGGAGAGGGGGGTGTCATGGGTGTTATCATAATGAACACTAAAGGGGGTGATCCATAATGAACACTAGGAGAGGGGGGTGTCATGGTGTTATCTGATCCATAATGAACACTAAAAGGGGGTGTCATGGTGTTATCTGATCCATAATGAACACTAGGAGAGGGGGGTGTCATGGTGTTATCTGATCCATAATGAACACTAGAAGGGGGTGTCATGGTGTTATCTGATCCATAATGAACACTAGGAGTGGGGGGTGTCATGGTGTTATCTGATCCATAATGAACACTAGGAGAGGGGGGTGTCATGGTGTTATCTGATCCATAATGAACACTAGGAGAGGGGGGTGTCATGGTGTTATCTGATCCATAATGAACACTAGAAGGGGGCGTCATGGTGTTATCTGATCCATAATGAACACTAGGAGAGGGGGGTGTCATGGTGTTATCTGATCCATAATGAACACTAGGAGAGGGGGGTGTCATGGTGTTATCTGATCCATAATGAACACTAGAAGGGGGTGTCATGGTGTTATCTGATCCATAATGAACACTAGGAGAGGGGGGTGTCATGGTGTTATCTGATCCATAATGAACACTAGGAGAGGGGGGTGTCATGGTGTTATCTGATCCATAATGAACACTAGAAGGGGGCGTCATGGTGTTATCTGATCCATAATGAACACTAGAAGGGGATGTCATGGTGTCTTACATTGGTTATATTTACCTGATCCATAATGAACACTAGGAGAGGGGGGTGTCATGGCTTCTATTGTACTTTTGCTGAACAGGAATATTGGATTGGTGTCCTACAAATAGACCAATGAACATGTTTATTTGCTAAATAAAAATAAATTTTTCAGATGCAATAAAAATGTTGGTCAAATGGTAATTTTTATTTAATTTTTTTAGTAAGCCTCACAAGGAAAATTATCTTAATTAAAATTAAAACACTTTTTCTAATGAGATAAGTCATTGTATTTATGTGAAATCTGTAAAACTGTATGTCATAAATAGTTTACAGCTTCTGTTTCTTTTAGTCTGAAGGTCAGCAAGATTACTTATGTCTATCTCCGACTTAGTCTGAAGGTCAGCAAGATTACTTATGTCTATCTCCAACTTAGTCTGAAGGTCAGCAAGATTACTTATGTCTATCTCCGACTTAGTCTGAAGGTCAGCAAGATTACTTATGTCTATCTCCGACTTAGTCTGAAGGTCAGCAAGATTACTTCTGTCTATCTCCAACTTAGTCTGAAGGTCAGCAAGATTACTTATGTCTATCTCCGACTTAGTCTGAAGGTCAGCAAGATTACCTATGTCTATCTCCGACTTAGTCTGAAGGTCAGCAAGATTACTTATGTCTATCTCCGACTTAGTCTGAAGGTCAGCAAGATTACCTATGTCTATCTCCAACTTAGTCTGAAGGTCAGCAAGATTACCTAAACTTATGTCTCCGACTAACTTCCTCAATCTATAAATTTTATGCCCAAAATTAAGAATAAAGAAATTTTCATACCTTTACTTGTTTTGAAATATTTCCAATTGATATCAATTCTATATAATCACAAGTTTAAGAACATGGGTAGGCAAAACTGTGCTATTTGATCCAATAATTTTTTACTTGCACCACTTAAGAGTAACAATATTTTGTACCAAGAACAAAAAATACTTGTCTTTGGCATCAGGCAAGTAGAATTGAACATCCCTGAACACCTTTTTTGTTATTTCAATAGAACAAAACACCAAAATGATGACAGCTATCTGAATGCTGTTCTACAATGAAGAAGTGACTTACAGTTCCTGCATGGTACTTTCCGACCCTTGCGGCAGGGTCAAGGCTCTCTCCACCACTAATCAGTAACACCTGTTTGTCCTCTGATATATGACATGCTCTGGCTATCACCCCCTGAAGAGTGGCAACACTGTAAAACATCAACAGTTATCACATCATATTCCAATATAACATATGTATGACAATTTATGTAATAAAGATTTCTTCACAACACTGATATACTATATACATGTACTATCATTCAGTCTGTTCATGTTTGTTAGACAATTACACTGAAAACATAAAGTAGATATATGACCAACGCGTACAATATATAACACAATGTACAAATCATTATCTAACTGTGATAAAGATATCACACAGGTTTTCATGTGACACAATGGTAATGTACTGGGGGGTACTCTCCTCTCACCTCAGGGGTTTTCATGTGACACAGTGGTAATGTACTGGGGGGTACTCTCCTCTCACCTCAGGGGTTTTCATGTGACACAGCGGTAATGTACTGGGGGGAACTCTCCTCTCACCTCAGGGGTTTTCATGTGACACAATGGTAATGTACTGGGGGGAACTCTCCTCTCACCTCAGGGGTTTTCATGTGACACAGTGGTAATGTACCACGGGGGTACTCTCCTCTCACCTCAGGGGTTTTCATGTGACACAATGGTAATGTACTGGGGGGAACTCTCCTCTCACCTCAGGGGTTTTCATGTGACACAATGGTAATGTACTGGGGGGGAACTCTCCTCTCACCTCAGGAGTTTTCATGTGACACAATGGTAATGTACTGGGGGGCACTCTCCTCTCACCTCAGGGGTTTTCATGTGACACAATGGTAATGTACTCACCTCAGGGGGGGCACTCTCCTCTCACCTCAGGGGTTTTCATGTGACACAATGGTAATGTACTGGGGGGTACTCTCCTCTCACCTCAGGGGTTTTCATGTGACACAGTGGTAATGTACTGGGGGGAACTCTCCTCTCACCTCAGGGGTTTTCATGTGACAAAGTGGTAATGTACTGGGGGGAACTCTCCTCTCACCTCAAGGGTTTTCATGTGGCACAATGGTAATGTACTGGGGGGAACTCTCCTCTCACCTCCTCTCACCAGGGGTTCAGGGGTTTTCATGTGACACAATGGTCCTCACCTCAGGGGTTTTCATGTGACACAATGGTAAACCACGGGGGTACTCTCCTCTCACCTCAGGGGTTTTCATGTGACACAATGGTAATGTACTGGGGGGGAACTCTCCTCTCACCTCAGGGGTTTTCATGTGACACAATGGTAATGTACTGGGGGGAACTCTCCTCTCACCTCAGGAGTTTTCATGTGACACAATGGTAATGTACTGGGGGGCACTCTCCTCTCACCTCAGGGGTTTTCATGTGACACAATGGTAATGTACAGGGGGCACTCTCCTCTCACCTCAGGGGTTTTCATGTGACACAATGGTAATGTACTGGGGGGTACTCTCCTCTCACCTCAGGGGTTTTCATGTGACACAGTGGTAATGTACTCGGTGGGGAACTCTCCTCTCACCTCAGGGGTTTTCATGTGACACAATGGTAATGTACTAGGGGGTACTCTCCTCTCACCTCAGGGGTTTTCATGTGACACAATGGTAATGTACTGGGGGGTACTCTCCTCTCACCTCAGGGGTTTTCATGTGACACAATGGTAATGTACTGGGGGGAACTCTCCTCTCACCTCAGGGGTTTTCATGTGACACAATGGTAATGTACTGGGGGGAACTCTCCTCTCACCTCAGGGGTTTTCATGTGACACAGTGGTAATGTACCACGGGGGTACTCTCCTCTCACCTCTGGGGTTTTCAAGTGACACAATGGTAATGTACTGGTGGGAACTCTCCTCTCACCTCAGGGGTTTTCATGTGACACAATGGTAATGTACTGGGGGGGAACTCTCCTCTCACCTCAGGGGTTTTCATGTGACACAATGGTAATGTACTGGGGGGAACTCTCCTCTCACCTCAGGGGTTTTCATGTGACACAATGGTAATGTACTAGGGGGTACTCTCCTCTCACCTCAGGGGTTTTCATGTGACACAATGGTAATGTACTGGGGGGAACTCTCCTCTCACCTCAGGGGTTTTCATGTGACACAATGGTAATGTACTGGGGGGAACTCTCCTCTCACCTCAGGGGTTTTCATGTGACACAATGGTAATGTACTGGGGGGAACTCTCCTCTCACCTCAGGGGTTTTCATGTGACACAATGGTAATGTACTGGGGGGTACTCTCCTCTCACCTCAGGGGTTTTCATGTGACACAATGGTAATGTACTGGGGGGTACTCTCCTCTCACCTCAGGGGTTTTCATGTGACACAATGGTAATGTACCGGGGGGAACTCTCCTCTCACCTCAGGGGTTTTCAAGTGACACAGTGGTAATGTACTGGGAGTACTCTCCTCTCACCTCAGGGGTTTTCAAGGGACACAATGGTAATGTACTGGGGGGTACTGTCCTCTCACCTCAGGGGTTTTCAAGTGACACAGTGGTAATGTATCAGGGGGGTACTCTCCTCTCACCTCAGGGGTTTTCATGTGACACAATGGTAATGTACCGGGGGGTACTCTCCTCTCACCTCAGGGGTTTTCATGTGACACAATGGTAATGTACCGGGGGGAACTCTCCTCTCACCTCAGGGGTTTTCATGTGACACAATGGTAATGTACCGGGGGGTACTCTCCTCTCACCTCAGGGGTTTTCATGTGACACAATGGTAATGTACTGGTGGGAACTCTCCTCTCACCTCAGGGGTTTTCATGTGACACAATGGTAATGTGCACACCTTTCACCTCAAGTTTGTAATGGGGTAACATGCCAAACCACATGGGTTTTCTCTGGGAACTCTGTACTTTCCTTCCATAGTTACATCCATTGCGTGTTTTCATCAAGACAAACAAGAGTGATTAATATAAGATGACAGCTTGTTTTGCAATTTTTCTTAAATAAAGTTTATATTTAAATATCAATGTCCTGCAAGGACAAAACTTAAACAAGAGGGCCATGGCCCTTATCGGACATCTGACAATCGACGAATGGATGGACAAACCATAGAATTCGCTGGGGGTGGTCTGACAAATTTGATAAATTCAAATTAGGAACATTCCTTGAAAGAATCAGAAACTCATAAATGGTCGATTCTGTGTATGAAGTTGCACAATCATATCAGAAAATAACTACTGTGGTTACCATATCACCATGTTGAAGTTTGGTCTAGGCAATCTCATAATGCATGTTTCATATCACTGCCACTCCCTGATAATGTTAGGACAAATTTGGTTGAAATCCATTCAAGCATAAAGAAAGAGTAGTATTTTAAAGCAAAATATTATCTGACCTCACCCCCAGGTCCCTTGAAGTTGAATCAACTTTCTGTTTTTAAAAACTGATTCCCAACTCTCAATGATGTTTCAGAACAAATTTGGTTGAAATCTATTCAAGCATTAAGAAAAAGTAGTATTTTGAAGCAAAATATTGTCTAATTTCTCCCTTGGGGCCCTACCCTCAAATCCCTAGGAGTTGAATCAACTTTCTGAATTTAAGACATGGTAACCCACCAACAATAATATTTCACACAAAAAATCTACCAAGACATTAAGAAGGAGTCATGTTTTGAAGGTTGAATCAAATTTGTTAACCCCTACTGATGCTAAAGACAAAATTTGAATCAAATTCATTCTAGTATTAAGAAAGATTGCTGAATTTAATAAATGATCCCCCATCCAAACGATGTTTCAAATTTGGTTGGAATCCACCTAGACCTAAGCAGGAGTAGTGTTTTAAAGAAAATATTTCAGAACAGTGGATGTCGCACGACGATGCATGAAGGTAATTGCTCATCTTGACCGTTTGGATCAGATGACCTAAAAACAATGGTAAGGTGGTGCAGTGGTAATGCACCCGCCTTTCAGTTAGACATCTGAGGTTTGATTCCTAGAACAGTTGTGAAAAGGTATGTGGTCACCTGCCCAACCACATGGGCTTTTCCCTGGTACTCCAGTTTCCTTTCGGAAAAGTTGGTAAAACTTGTTTTGCAATTGTTGTAAAACAAATAATGTTAATCTAAATAAACAGTCAAAACTCATCTCGAAATCCACGGAACTGTGAAAAATGTTTCGACTTATCTGAATTTCGACTCAAACGAAGTGTATAAATAAGGTTGGCAATATCAGTTTTCTAATGTTGATTATGGTTGTACAAAGTAGGGCTACTTGCATGCAAGCAGTGTAATTTTATCTGTTTTTTGAAATGGCATTAAATAAACAAATAGATTTAATTTAAATGTTTTCATGTTTTGTGAAAACATTTTTAACGTACAGGTAAGTCACTGCTACAGAATGGTGACACAAATGAGAAGCCAAACTTTAATTAGATAATTAGACTGGTAATTAATCGCCTAAGACCAATTATTGTTGTGTATACCATGGACTGATCATCCGTAATTAGACATGTGTTACACACATGTGACTTTCTACTTTGTGTAGGTAAGGACTGATTTCGTCAGAAGACGTGTCAATGTTTTAGCAAAAATTAACTTCGAGACAACGAGTGAGTGTTCTCTTGTTTACAACTGAAGGGACTGAAAAATCGCTTCAACTCCACCAAAATTTTGACTCAATGAAATTCAAGTCATCCAAACTAAAATTACAAAGATGTAAAAGGAAAAAAATCAGGACTTGAAAATTATTTCGACTCAAACAGAATTTCGATTCCAGCCATTTCGAGACGAGTTTCAACTATACTTCAAAAATTTGTATCTGTTAAGTATTTTATCCAGAAGATGATGAACATCAACAGTAGAAACATACTGATATCAATAACTTAACAAATCAGCTACAACCACTTGTAATTTCCTGTCCATGGCTAAAGTTTATATCAGAGATGGCATAGAACTAGTTAAAACATTTATAACTACCTCTCGTTGTCTAAAGTTTATATAAGAGACGGCATAGAACCAGTTAAAACATTTATACCTACCTCTCGTTGGCTA